CGGCGCCGCCGAATCCTGCGCCTGCGAAGGCGGCATCGACATCGTGCCGTATCCCGGAAGCAGAGAAGGAGGCCAAGCGGCGTTGGGAAGGGCGGCGACAGAAAACTGCTGCTGTTGCTGCTGAGTTGACGACGGTCCGATATCTAGGCCATCGACACCCCTCGAACAACCTCCAGAAAACGGCGACGGAAGCGTGCGCGCGAGCCGCTGGTGGGTCCCGGTACCCCTCTCGCCGCCCCTGCTGTAGAACCCCGCCGCACCTCCCAAGCCGCTTGGGGACAGCCCTCCCGGGCTTCCGCTGCTGCTTCCGCTGCCGCCGCCGCTTTGTGGGAAAGAAAGGGGGCGCAACTGCGGAGACTGACGTTGCGGGAGTGCTCCAACCGTGGGCACCGGTATCCCACCTGTTCGTCCCGGAGAACGTTGCGGCTGCTGCTGTGCTGCTGCTGGGTTGTTGGGGCCGAGGTGCTGGTGGTGGTGTCGCTGCTGGTGGTGGTCGCGGCTTCTGGTGCCGGAGAAGTTGATGGAGGAACGGAGGGAGGGGAGAGCTTGGCTCTCGGGGAGCTGGCGCTGGTGCTGGTGCTGATGCTGCTGTTGTTGCCCCAAACTACCGGGATACTGGAAGTGCTGCTGCTGTTGCTGCTGTTGCTGCTGCTGCTGCTGCTGCTGCTGCTGCTGCTGTTCTGGGTGAAACTCGGGAGGAGGGGGTCCCAGCAAGGCCAAGGAACTGGACTGCTGCCTCACCTGGGACAACAAAACATTGGCAGAGGACACAGGTAGTACGAGTACGATCGGACGGCGAAACGGCGGCAGATTAGAGGGGCCACGACGCTGCCCCGACTTAAGCGGCCGAAGGCCTAGGTCTAGATCGAGGCATAGGTCAGGCAGAGGTGTGGGTTGGGTTTGACGAGCTGGATCGTGCATTGGAAAGACCTTGTCAAACCTTTCTAGACACACCACGCACTCTCACCGCGGCAAACAAACCCTCAAAAGTCCAAAAAGAGACACAAGCAAAAACATACGTACATAGGAAACAACATACTACTGCAATACCGTGAACGAAGACATGAATGCCAAATGCTCTGCATACAATACCGACAAGAATATACGGCCTCTGCTGAAGTGATTCGGCTGCCCTCTGACGATAACAGCTGCGACGCAAAAAACGCGACAAGACGCATCCATCCATGCACAAAACGCCCCTCAATCGGTATCCCACCCTTCTACCATCCTCGGTAGCCGGCAAAGCAAACCCACCCCATACAAAGTTCTCGCCATGTGACCGCCGAGGGCAATCTTGTCGCGGAACTCCTACGAAGCCTTTCGTTTCGTAGCTTCATGTACAGCAGTACAAAGAAAAAGCAGCCGCGACGCTTCAGCCACTTGCCTCCGAAGTGCTGCTGTGACAGGCGGCAAAGACAAGCGCCGCCACGCTCATTGTTGAGTGTACCGAAGCCTTGAACTTCATAACAATGATGTACCAACGTTTACCTCGGGGTTTGTGAAGGATGAAAGCTGGGTGCTGCCCACGCCCTCATTCGTCATGCCCGGCCGGGGCTTTGCTAGGAGCCGACGCGGAGGGGAAACGGTGCACTGCTTGCTGTCCGCGTGCTATTGGTCGCGGGTCCCCGTCGTCGGTTTGCACCTGCTGTCGTGCTCTACGCGGGTCTGATCGCGAGACAGCAGGATGCAATCAATCCCTGTCCGGTGGCAATAAAAACGATAAAACAGAAAACAACAGTGTTGGGTGCCGGGGTGAACACCGTCCGTATCGCGGCATGATTGGGAAGGATCGGCCGCGAAAGGGCGGATGAAGTCTACTGCTGTAGGTCCTCCTGTAGGTATCTTCAAGACTAAAAAAGTTAGAAACTAAACAGCAGGAAAATTCGGTTCTTCATTATTTGGGCCACGAAGGTCACAGCCAGAACGCGAGCCATGGCTTGTCGCCTACCCTAAACAACCGTACGCAAGGGGCGGGTGGACCATCATGACACAACCTCCTCCGCGCTCGGTACGCAATACCACACACCGCGGTTCCCGCACGAACACGCGACACTCTGGTTTGATTGGCTACCATGTACCAACCTCTGCTTGTGTAACCATCAGGAGGACGGAGAGACAAACAGCAGCACAGCGGTGGTAACACGGTAAGGCTTTTGTCCACGCGGGCATGTTGTCCCTACAAGTACGGCATACAAGCTGGGTACCCGGCGTCCGCGTGCGAAAATAACGTATACAAATTGTTCGCAACACCAGATGTGCGTGTTGGACACACATATGTATGTATGGTTTGGTAGTTGGGGGGTGGGGGGGTCTGCATCCTGCTTCGGCGGACATACATTGACATGACATAGCAAATGGTACGACAAACCGTCATAGTTGCTGCGCGTTGACAACGAACATTCGTATTGGGGGGAACAACACCTAGGGAAGCATTTTTAACCTCAGGGTGTTAGAACATTTCGCAAGATAATACGCACTCTCTCGTGGGACACAAACATCGTACATTGAGGGTGGGCGTGTGTGGACTACTTTTCGTTCGTGCGGGCTGCCGCTTTTGATTGGGTGGTGATTTTTGGCATACAAAAGGCAAGTGAAAGAATCGGCGGCATGGCGAATGATGAAAAGTTCACCATGAATATATTCCCCGACTGTACCATCCCAAGAACCCACTCACCTAAATCACAGCCTCTCCAACCTCCAGCAGCCGAAACACGACGCCTAGCAGGGGAGACAAGAGTTCACTGGTGTTTGCTTGCCCAACAAGCAGTCGCATCGAGCGATCCATACATCCCATTTTGGTGTAGAGAACCAGAACCTTGCTGACTTCGGAGATTTCGGAGATCTCCATCTTTTCGATCTGTTTTCGATGACGTCGGACACGAGGAGTAATCGAAATCGTAGTCTACACCCACGCTTTGTGCCTCTCGTTCCCTTACCCTCGGCCCCTCTACCGCAGCCCCTTGCCGGGACACACAACACAAGGGGGATCTTGCATCTTTCAAACAGGGGGCGATTACTCCAACCCGGGGGATGGCGGCACGCGGGGGAAGCACTCGTCGATTCTCATCATCCTCGCTGCTGTTGATGTTGTTGGTGATCATCTGCGCCGTGGGGTGGCTGGGCTGTGCGGAAGGATTTGGCTTGCTGCCGCCGGCAACAGACCTGCTGCTGCAACCAAGAATAGGTGTGTTGGGGGTCGCATGCTGTCTCCCGCCGATTGGGCGTTCGCTGGCCATCGACGAAAGAACCAGAAGGCGGACAATCAAGGCAGCAATTTTGAAATCGAGTTCTACGTGAGGCGGTCTACGACAGCACCAGGAGAGTGTAGTACAACACGTTGCTCACGCCCCGCCGGTGGCAGATAGTGTTACGCCTGTGCTGTGCTTCTGCTGCTGCAATCCTCTTGGCGCTGGATTCGATGGACAGGGGAGTGGGAGGGTGCAGAGTTGCTTTGAACTGCAGCAGCCGAGGGCGCCGATGCTTAAGTTACACAGCACGGACGCGGTATGTTGTGTGGGGATTTTTTTCTTACTCTACACACACGCGCGCGCGTATTCTCGCTTTGTACTCACGAGTCCACGGATGCCGCGTGGTGGCTCGCCCCGCGTTCACAGGCATTCAATGGAGGTGTTGGTGATTTCGGTAATCGCTGTCGCCAATGATTTCGGCATCAGGGCTCTAGGGCACTCGTTCTGTTGCTGATCTGCACAGCAGATCGTTCTATTAATAGAACCCCGGCGTTTGATCAAGCTTTAGGCAAGCAGATGATTAGACTATTTCGGCACACGCCCGCAATGGCACGCACGTCTAACTAGAGGATCTACTGCTGCTACAACGTTGTGTCTCTCTTTCAATCTCCTGCGGAGTTTGGATTGACCCACTGCAATATCTTCTCGTCTGGGATCTATTTGTAATCTGCTCCAGGAGGTCGGGGCGATTTATGTGCGCTGTTGCCGCATACTGCTGTTACAGCAGGACTATCGTTCAACCTATCGTTCCACAAATATTTTCGCCCCCACCGTTCGACTACTGCTGAGAGGGCGCGTGCCATTTGTTGCATAGTCCACTCGCCCCCATCGCCACACACACAGCCCCGTCAACGTTCAAGATCCCAAATACTACAAAAAGATCCTTGCTTACATATTTCTTGGAGAAAGGGGGCGAATTTGTTGGCCGCCAAGCTTTGGTATATACACAGGGAGGTTCGTCTAACGGTGTTGCATTGAGGGCTCTCCCCCGGCATTTGCGGGGCACACTGCAACTATCTGACTGCCGTTTGTTTGTTCTTCGTACACGGCATGATCTCTTCGTGTTGCGGTCGGTACCGCCGAACGTGCATTTCTTGTACAATTTTGTAATAATAATAATAATAATAATAATAATAATAATAATAATAATAATAATAATAATAATAATAATAATAATAATAATAATAATAATAATAATAATAATAATAATAATAATAATAATAATAATAATAATAATAATAATAATAATAATAATAATAATAATAATAATAATAATAATAATAATAATAATAATAATAATAATAATAATAATAATAATAATAATAATAATAATAATAATAATAATAATAATAATAATAATAATAATAATAATAATAATAATAATAATAATAATAATAATAATAATAATAATAATAATAATAATAATAATAATAATAATAATAATAATAATAATAATAATAATAATAATAATAATAATAATAATAATAATAATAATAATAATAATAATAATAATAATAATAATAATAATAATAATAAGATGAAGGTTCTCACAATGGATCCTTATGAATCCTCCCCTTCGCCAGGGCGGGTGGTCGGGAACTTGGTTATCGTGCTGTCAATACTGAAATCAAGTGTACTCAGCAGTATTCGACTACCGTAGGTGACACAACTACCGTAGGTGACCCAAGATACCACGCCCCCCGAACCGGTTTTCAAAGCTCGATTTATCCATAGCGTAAATAGCGTGAGAGCGACGAAAACGGCGGCGTTGAAGCTGTTTCGCCGAGAGCTTTCCGGAAACGTATCATGTCATTGATGCATCCTCTTCGCCGTGGAGTATTCGAGCTTTGAAAATCGCTAGAGGCGGGTGTGGTATCTTGCGTCACATGTGGAATATTGAATGACGGTTTCCAACCGCTTGTGTCGCTTGGCGCCCGTGGTTTCCTTGGTGCAGCCACGAGGACGACGACATCTCTCCGGCAACGACAACAGCAGCTCGGAGGGCGACGAAGCTCGATTGGCGTCAGCATGAGGGGAGAGGAAACACCGTGTAATCGGGCAAGATTCCTCAAGGTCAGCTCTGCTGCAAGGTTGCAGACCCAGAGTTGGCGGCCAGCAAGCGTCATGATGCCTACCGAATTTCAAAGTCGTCTAGCACAGCCTGGGGCCCGTGATTAGTCTATTCAAGCATGGGTTCGCAACTGCACCCCCCCACCTTTCATTAACGTCACATGCCGCGCGCAACGGCCATAGTTTCGACCCCCCCTCACTCCCCACGGATCATCCACCCAACGCTCCACGCCGTCGACAATTGAGCAGAACGGACTTTCGTTGCTCGTCGGCTCGGTAGCGGTAGCGTCAGCGTCTCCAGCCGTGGCGGAGACGGATTCGGACGAACTGGACGAAGAAACCAAGCAGAAGATCACCCAGGTAAAGAATCTACAACCTTCCGGGGCCGCGATGTTTTCGCCGGCTCCCTGAGCAAGCGATACATGCCTCTGTCTCTCGGTGAAACTCAGTTTGTTGGCACCAGACGGACAGCCGGTGACGGCGTCAAGGTGTTCGGCGGCCCAGACTGCCTTTTGTGTTTTTGTCTATTGCGACGACCCCGGTATGTTTTGTTGGTGCATTCCTCCCCCCCGCCCCCCCCGGTGTTTGCCATCGGGATTGGGTTTTCGTCGCTTGGCAACGACGTTGTAAAACAAGCC